TGTGTGTCTCTTTCTTTTAACCTGTCCGAGTCTAAAGCCTTGTATGAATGGAAACAAGTGTGGTGTAAATTTTGTAAACGATTAAGAAAAAAAAGTGTCTAGACGACAGGATGTAAAGAAAATGGTGTAGTAAGTCTGCCAGGCCTATCAGTGGCGCTGTAGCGCTGCCAGAAAGCAACAAAAACCAGAAGGGGCAGAATTTATTTATTTTGAAATGTTGAGAATCTGTTACTGAAGCATCTATGATGGTGTTTGAGGACAATGTATGTAGAAATAAAGAAAATTTCTTCCAAAAAGACCCTTAAATTTTGAGATCTCAGAAAATTTCTGAAAAGTTGAACATTTGCAAGAGCCATTGGAGGTAGAAAACAAATTTTCATTAAAAAATAGGCTCAGAAATTCTGAGATGAATCTCAAATTCTCAGAAACAAACTTTTGATTTTCAAAAGTTGGAAATTTAGTTTTTGGAAATTTGCTGAGTTTGAAAAGTCAAAAATCTTCCAAGTTCCTTCTTGAAAAAATGAGGAATTCTTTACAGCACAAATTGCTGAAAAGAATTTGTGAAATCTTAACACACATTTTACTTGAGGAGCACAGAGATTTTCAAAAAAGATTATTCTCAGAATTTCTTAGTTTTTGCTCTTTTGTTTTTATTTATTTTTCTTATTTTTGGAGTTCAGTAATTTAAGATTAATCTTTAAAAGAGTGTAAATATCTAAAATTTATCAAAGAATTTTAGACTTCATAGCACATTTTTCAATTTTGAAACTTAGAAATTTACAAAAGAACATTTCACAGAAAGTTATTGATATAAAATTAGAGCATTTTGATTGACATTTACTCCTTTAAAAAAAATCTACAGTGGCCTTAATACACCTTTTTAATTGTCAGACATTTTATTCTTTTCAACTCAAATTAAACAAGAATCAGTATGTCTATCGCAATAAATATAAAATTTATAAAAGATAAACCTTCCTTTGTTATAAAAAAGTGGAGCTCTTTTGAATAACCAGACATTTAAACAAACTAGACTTTGTTTTCATTATTCAATTAAGCTTTAATGAGACACAAATTTACTTTTTTTGCTAAATTTATGTTTCCATGTGTTTGGGAATCTCTGCTTTAAATGACAAAACCTTTGGAGAAACACCTAAAATGTGTGGATGGGACCTAAAAATGAGTGGATCTGCATTCAGCTTCAGCTGCAGAGCCAATCAGGGAGCCACGTGAAGCGTGTGTAAACATGTTTTTATGTGATTTGAAAGCTCAGGGCTGAGAGCCGATGAAAGGAGGCTGGAAATAAAAAGCAGTCGACATTGTGGAGGAGAAAATAAGGCACCTCTGGCCTTCCACCGCTGCGTGATTGAAAGCCATTTTGTTTCATGTGCTTCTGCCTTCTTTCTCCAGCACTTCTCCTGGTTAGGCATTTCTCTTTCTAATAGGAAATAAAGAGCGGCGAGCGGCCCAGATAGGGACGCCAAATGAAAAACATGGAACCAGTGACCCGAGGCCGGGACCCGTCCATCTACGTCGCCCAAAGTCTGAGCTTTTCTCTTCCTCTGCTGCTCCGTCTGCAGAATAAAGACGTCGAAATATTTTTGCTGCAGACTTGAAGCGTCTCCAGGCTGTAGGTGTGATTTCTATTTATGTGAACGACCGATATAGACGAGCAGAAAGTGACGAGAACGCCTTAATCTCCGTCTTGGTGCAAATTGGATTCTTTAAAAAAAGAAAATCTGTGCTGTATGAAGCCTAATGTACATTAAATTGTTTTCATATCCCTAAACTTTCGTTTTTTGTCTCGATTTTGTGAAGAACCAACATGAAGTTGTGCAAATCAGTGAAGTGGGAGGAAAATAAATAAGTTGCAATGTTTCTAAAAAGTGTGGTTTCTCTTTTAGTGCACCAATAAATTATTCACAAATGACTCAAATTTACTCAGAAAGAACTGGGAGTTATTTCAGTTTTTGGCTCAGATTATCCACTATGTTCAGGTCTGGACTTTGACTAGGCCAAGTGTCTGCAACCTGCAGTTATAGAATGATAAGTAAAATTAGAGACTGGATTAGATTAAAATTAACTAAATAAATTGCAACGTTTGTAATTAATTGCATTTTAATCAAACACCATGACATACATCCTCAAGTCAAGAAATTGTTTCATTGCTGAAAAACAAATAGTTATATTTTTAATCTGTTATTTTGTCTTTTAAACCATCAGATTTCAGCTTCTGTGTGAAAATTCACGTAACTTTAGAAACAATATAATTCTTTAGAAATGTGGACCGCGAAAGCTAACATTAGCGTTAGCATCTGTGCTGAGGCTACATGCTTAGCACTGAGATAGATTTGAATAGTTTCGCGAATGAGCTAACTCCTTTTAGCGCAACAATAGTCTTTTCCAGTGTCCAATCAGAAAGGGTTTTTTTTGAGTACAAAAAAAAATAATGCAACTGTGTTAAACTAAAAATATAAAACATAACTGAATGGTTATTATGCAGGCATTTTAATGGAATATTTAGAATTAGACCAGAACTATAAAGTAATATATTTTAACAACATTCGTTAGATCCAATCAGGAGTATTTGGTCCTCAGTATTAGTCAGAGAAAATTGTCCTCACAAGGTGAGAAATGCTAAAACACACGCAGCTTTCGTTCATGTTGTCAGGTTGTGTAAATCCAGATATTCAACCGCGACACCTCAGCAGGTGGAAATGACCCTCCGCCATGTTGATTTATCCCAACGCCTAATGAAGACCCAACATCTGGTTCTGTTCAGCGAATCTGTCCAATAAAAACTCAGGCAGAACCCAGGCGGCCATTTGTTTTTTTTATAAAACAAAACAAAAAATCAGGAACATTCAGACCTAAAATGTGAATGGATGGGTGAATAACTGGATGGGTAAATAGAATATAGTTCTGCTTTGTGTTTTATCACAATATAAATATAAAATGAAATTAATTCAGACTTTCGATCTGGAAACTGGAGAGTTTCCTAAACAGTGAATCTTTAACTTTCTGTTAGGAAGTAACAGCAGCTTTCCAAACATGGCTTCCCTGTTCCTCTGTTTTCAATATGGCGGCTGCATTTTTATTCGCTACAAACAGAAAAATCCCTCAAACTGACAGAAATATCACAAAGTTAAAGTTGGACTTCTCGGCAGACATCGAGTCTCTGAGCCCAAAGCGCCTCCTGAATACCAAACATCACCTGCTCCTGCAGGCGCTGAAACACGGCAGGAACAATAAGAGAAAGTTTCTCCACCTGCAGACACGACGGAGAGCGGAACCGGGTTTATTTTTAGAGTCCCATCTCTGGGAGGAACAGCAGTCCAACAAGGAAACACAGGGAGCATCCAGCAGATCCATCATGGCGGACAGGAAATATGGAGAAAACACAACAACAGATCAGCAGCTGCATCAGAACCAACCGACTTCACTCCTTAAAACACTTTAGTTCAGAGGGTCAAATTATTCTGCAGCTATCTTTACAGAAGGGTTTTTGGTCTTTTACATAATAAAACTGTTGTAACATAAACAGTTCTGACTTTGGTCGGCCATTTTGTCCGACTGGTAGTTGGGAAAACCAGCCAGTTTGGCCACGGATCGTTATGTGGAACAAATATATTCAGATACTCACTGTAAATCTGTGAGCGGTCCAGGTCGTTTAATGGACCGGTTGGGAAACTCTCACCCTCTTTCCAGATGTCTGAGTCCAGAGATTCAATCTGCAGGATTTCCTCCTCGGGCTTCCTCCTCCCCAATTCGACTTTACAGAGAAAACTGGTAAACATCACTTCTGTTTCCGTTAAAAAACAAAGCAAAAACATTCCACTGGGTTCTTATTTATTAATCTGTTCCCTGCAGAGCTAAAATCTGTAAATTAACCCCCCAAAAATGCAATAAAATAAGGATTGTTAATTTATTTAGGTGCATTAAAGGTCAAAAAGAAAAGTAAAATATCCACAATAATTCATTAAATCTTCCGCTCCCTCAGAGCGCTTGCTCCTGATTTATTTGGACATAATTTAATTAAAGTTGTGGCTAATGAAAATTACTTCAGGCAATAAACAAATGAGCTCTACTTTCATTCCGTCTTTTTTTATAAACAAAAAGCAGTGAGTAGAGAACCCAAAAAATTTCACTTCTACATACTTTTACTCGAATAAAAGTAAAAACATATAAAACGTAAGATCAGAGAAGCTGTTCATTTTAAGTGGCCTCTTAAAAGTTTTTCCAGACCTGTATTTGAAAAGCAGAAGCGGAGCCTCCTGTGCAACCGACAAGAATGCAGCAAATGGTTTCTTTATGGTAATTCGACAACAAAAGACTCATCTTTTCCAGCAGCCATTGTACAATGCAGCAGTAAAACCAGGTGGTCAAACATGTTGGAACTCTGCGGGGGTTGCTAGGTAATGGGCGGAATTCCAGTTGGGTTGCTAGGTAATGGGCGAAATTCCAGTTGGGTTGCTAGGTAATGGGCGGAATTCCAGTTGGGTTGCTAGGTAACAGCTAATGTGTGACGTTACGTTCCAAAGACATTTCAAAGGGCTCACTTTCCAGACACCAAAAAACAATTTCCAGACAAATAGTAGCTGGTTGGTTTCTAAAAGTCAAAAATGTGTAAAATTTGATTTTTTTAAAATAGTAGGTTCAATTTAAGTGCTGAAAACAATGAAAGAAAAACAAGAAATGTTGCTCACAGCAGTCTTCAGAGGACTCCTCCGGCCTTCCCCGTCTGATGCAGCTTTAATTGTGTTTGTCTTAAAGTCACCTTTAACCTTTAGAACAAAACACAGGAGCAGTTCAACAGGTCCCCAAGGAACAATGAGGCCGGACTTAACAGGAAGGACTGCGGTATTTATGGAAATCAACTCAAGAGACATGCTTCACCGTCGTTTTCACATGTGAAACATCCTGCTGCGACATCAGGAAGCAGTGATGTCATCACATCACCGACAACTGAGTGGACGATCAGAAATAAACAACAAAACAGCATGGAACGGGAACAGCTTTCTGCTTTATTCCCAAATTGATACGTACAGAAAAAGTGTTTACATTTCTCCAAACATCATGTAAAAGACTTCTGGAAACAAAACAATTGCACATCAGCTTCTTCTTCTTTTTTCTTTACTTCCATTTCAGTTATGCTTCATCAAAACAAAAAACTAAACAGTATGGCTGGAGATAAACAGGATAGAAACACTGATGGTGACGGCCGCCTCTCGATCCACAGGTAGATTGTGAAACGAATCGCATTGCGTCCGACTTTGTGTGAAATGTTCAGATATATTTTCTCAGGCACTTTTTGAGATATCAGAGAAACACTTCCTGTGGTCTGAATGTGGGTTTAAAAGCATCAAATGTTGCAGAAAAGCATCTCTGCATGTTTTAAAATCTCCTCGGTAGAAGACTCATTTTGATAAAATCTGATCTTTTCATCCATTTTGCAGCTTTTATTCATTTAATGGTGGACCTCCATCTGGCTTGTTAGCTAGTTACGGTCAGTTTTGCACTCCAGCTCCTCTGAAACTAATTTATTATTTTTGTCCTGGAGCAGAAAATGTGCCCATCAGCATTTTCCAAGCTGCCGGGAATAATAATAATAAAATTACCACCTCCAGACGCTACAAACCAAGCTTGTAATTAAATTTTTCCAGGTTTTTACCGACGCTAACACACAGGAGATCAATGCAGTGTCACTTGTGGTCCTTGCAGCATCCAGCCTGAGGGCTGAACCCAGCAGCTTTCCACATTAAATCATTTAAATGTGAGCCACAAACAGAAACTTAGTCTCTCTTTGGTTTGAACCAAACTTTCTGACATTTTGGATTATTTATAGCTTATTACTTGACAAAAAACTCTTTTTTGGGAATAAATATTCAGTTTTCATATCTTCTCCAATTGGCACAGTCAATAGATATTGCTGTACATTTTCTTATAGTCCTTTGTGCTCTGACATCCATCTGACATTTTTATTATCTCTCCAAACTTTGGCTTTTAGCTGACAAATGAGAAGATGATGGAAATATCCCGGCAGTGGACCTGACCTTTAAATATATATCCTTAATCAGAATACATACGTAATTTGGAGTAAAACTGTGTTCAAATGTGTTTTAGAAAAGTTAAAGGTTATTTTGTGGACTGAACTGGATAAAGGACAATTTACACAGTAAAAACACAAAATCGTACCAAATATTTTCAAGTTTCTAGTGCAAATATATTTGTGAACTTATGACTTAAAAGTAACTTTTCAGCAAGATAAATAAGATTGTTTTAAGTCAATAATTCATGAATATAGATGCTAGTGTCATTGGCAGATTTTTCAGTAACACAGGAAAACTGTCTTGATAAAACTAGTTTATCTAAATTCAAGAATTATTTACTTAAAACAAACTACTTTTTCTGGCTGAAAAGTTTTGTCCTATTTCAAGTGTACTAAGAAATTTTCACTAGCAACTTAAAAATACTTGATAGTATTTTGAGTTTTTGAAGTGTAAAGGTGGGAAAAATTATGAAATTATTCATCTGAGTTAAATTTTTTGCATCACGAAACCTAGCAGAGTAGTGGCGGGCATCGCTAGCCATAAAATTGGACGAGCTAACGCTGAAGCACAAACTGTGAACATTAGTTCAGCTAAGCAACACCATATTTAGCAGAAGCTAATGCTAATGCGCTAACCTCAGTTCAAATGATATCTACCCTGGAGAACCAATTGAATATCTTATTCTGTACATTTTATTTTGTTAAAAAGACAGAAGTGAGAACAGGAAATGGAACAGCTGGTTAAACTGTCTTCACCCCCTTCAAAATCAAAGCATGACTATAAACATTTAACTAATTGAATAATTTTTAGCTAATTTGACAATTAAGAAAAGTTCAACACAAATGCTGAACTTTATTCAAATTAAAGTTTATAAAACAGTAAGGTAAATTTGAGTTTTATTGAGAAAAATGTATTTAGGGGTTAAGAGCACTAACAAGGAAAAAAACTAACTCATTGATTGATTAATCAATTTTGCTGTTTACGAAATGTTTATACTTTTGGAAAAAATATAAACATTAATTATTATTTTACCAATTGACATTTTGAGTTTGTATAGTTCAGTTTAATGTCAGGCCACCATGTTTTATGATCATGTTTAATTATGGGAGTAATTAAACAAGGGGGTTGTTATTCCATCAGGTGCTAATCCACCTCATTTGCTTTTGCCACCCCTCAAAGTACAAAATCATCTTTAAGGGGTGTACATACTTTTTAAATTTACTTTCCCAGCTGAGAGCCATAAATGCGACTGCATCAACCTCCACTGTTGCTGTTTCAGAATCAAACTCACAACTTGAGTTGCCCATCTGCATTAAGAAACTCTGTTTTTTACTCGCTTCCTGCTGTTTTCCAACCTGCTCTTTGTAATCCAGCAGCATTCTGTTCATTTCTCGACTGCTGTTTTTAAAAGCAGGATGCGCTGCTCCCCCCACACCCACCTGCTGCCTCTATTTAAAATCACTGCAGCGAGGAGTGTCTGCTAAATGCTTAAAAAGGTATAAAAACACACAAAAAAAACACACAAAAAGCAATTATGGCAATTTGGAGCAATTAACTCCGGAGGACAATTTTGCCTTTTGTTAAAAACCAGCATAAAGGGGCTGCTGCTAATTTCACACTGGGAGCGACATTGTTTCCCAACCGATCTTTATTCTGCCTCCTTTTATTCGGCTCGTCGTGTCAGAAGCCGGGCCCTCTGTCGGAGCCTCTGGTGGCGCCATTTTTCTGGCTTCGGCAGGCAGCAGGTGGCTTCTGATGAAAAATTCAGTGCAGAGCGCCGATTCGGGAGAGAGGAGGAGGAGGAAGAGGCGGGGGTGAATATGGAGGTGTTGAGGTAGAAGAAAGGAGCGTAATGAACAGAGAGAGAAAGACTGAAAGGAGAAGATGGAGCTCCAGACAGACAGGCAGGGAGGCGGGCGACCGGAGCCCAGCGCTGCGCTGAGGGGCCAGGCTAGAGGATCAGAGATGCCTACCCTCTCTGCCTGACTCTCCTCCAAGGAGATAACACAAACTATGAATCATTTATGAGGAGGGCTTTTATTAATAACACACACACGCACGCACACACTCTCTTTCTCTCTGGCCTGTTTTCATTCCTTCATAGCAGTTAGCTTTCCGAAGCTAACGGAACAAATGGCAGTTGGAACGCTATTTCCTTCAGAGCAGTTAGCTTTCCGAAGCTAACTGAAAAACGGCAGCTGGATTGCTCTCTCCTTCAGAGGAGTTAGCTTTTTGAAGGTACCTGAAAAACGGCAGTTGAAACGCGTCATTCGTGCCCACTCCTCTGCCTGATTGTCGGTTCGTGACGGCGACGAGGGTGGACAAGGCACCGGGGCGTCTGGTGGTTGTTGGTGAGTGACTGATAGTTGGTGCGGGTCATCAATCACCCGCATGCCTTTAAGATAGTCGCTAAGCTATAATTCCGCTAAGTAGTCCGTTGTCTGCGTTCTGATGCTACTTTGCTATTTTTCAAGAATAAAAAAGTCTTCCCTTTTCTGACCCCAGTCTGTTGAGCCGAGCTAGTTGCGACGGCGAAGGCGGGACGTCGTGTCGGTACGGGCCCTTCGGCGACCCCGGGCCCTTCGGCGACCCCGGCTCCTTCAGGTGGGGGATGTACCCGTCGTAGGCGCTGTTCCCGCTGCCTTCCTGTAGCATTTTTCCTTTGGCTTCCTGCTCCCTGCGCCTCTGCTCCTGTCGCAGCAGCTCCTGGGCCTCCAGCAGGACTCTAGCGTTCACTCCTCCCCCGCCGCCGCCCTGGTAGCCGTTCCGGGAGCCCTGGTAGCTGGAGTACCGGGGGTTGTCTTTGGCCGTCTGGAAGACGTCGCCAGGTGGGTACGCCTTGTCCCAGGAGTCCTGGGAGACGGTGCTGGGATTCTTCCTGGGTTGTCTGATGGCGGAAGAGGAAAACAAGGAAACGACTGTGAGAGCAGCATCTGATGTAAAGGGGTGCTGCGCTACAGAGGGCGCCAAACAAAAATCATTTCTACTGGAGAGGAGGCTGGTGCAAGAAAAGGTGAACCTCAGATTTTCAAGTTTGTAAATTTTAGATTTTTGAAACTGAATTTGACTTCTTCAGTCTGGAATAGCAGAAGAAAAAATTTCAACAACAAATTTGAAATTGAAAGATGAAGAATGTAAGCATTAGCTTGTCTGGAATCACTAAGACGGTTTCCACTGACCTTATTAATGCGTCTTAAGATATATTTGATGCTTGAAATATTAAAACACGCACTTAAAATAGTTTTTTTGTTTCCTTTTTCTTCTAGAAAAGTTAGAACGGTGTGAATAGTTTCCCTCAGTGTTGTCTTTGAGCAGCTTTGGTCTCTTTTGTCAACATGTGAAATGAAATCGGGTGTCGTCGACGCCGGTCTCTGAAAATTGGACCCAGCGGAGCGTGTGAAGAGTCAACCTGCGCCGACTCCTCTCATCTCACCCATCAAGCAGCGAATCCGTCCTCAACTGGAACCAATCTCCACCGAACTCAAAACAAAGCGCCGCTTTGTTCTCATTAAAGGATTTCCACCATTTTTTACCCTTTTGTTGCCACTTCCTGCTGAAATCCAAACAGAGGAATAATACGATTTCTCCACAGCTGGGTGATAAACGTGATAATTATGCATGGCTCTGAACGATCTTCTTCCTCCTCCTTGGACACGCCACACAAAGGCAGAGCGGCCGACTGGAAATAATGTCTGATGACACACATCTGGATCTTTCTCTGCCACCTCCTAAATGCTTTCTATAAGCCACAATCATTGATATTAACAGAAATAAAGATTTACACCTTTATATCCAGAACTGAACCTTCTGCAACACAAAGTCGTCCTTTCATCGTCTGATGAAGAGAATTAATCCACGAGTTTGAATAAAAAAGTAAAATAGATTTTAATGATATTCTAACTTGTGAAGTAGAATATAATTAAACAGCTCAACTGTCTCCTTCCTTGGCAGAGGAAATGATAACTGATGACACATCTGGATTTTGTTCTTTCAACTCCTGCATGTCTCCCGGTGAAGCTGCCCAGATTCATGACACCCGGCTGCGTCTGATGGCGGCCTCGTTTCTCTGGGTTTGCTGTGTGTCAGGTCAGATGCGTGTTCCGGTCGGTCTCGGCGCGGGTCTAATGGTCCGGAAGCGAACGCTCAGGCGGTTCGGGAACCGTGTACGAAGCTGCTGCCGGCTGGTAGATGCCCACAGGCGGTTTCTGTGAGGCTAATTTTTTATTGAATCTGATGTTTGATCCTCTGATGTTTGATTCTCCTTTATCACCCAGGTGTGGAGACCAAATCTGTCCCTCAAAATGCAACAAGCTTCAAATGAAAAATCGTCACAATCTATTCCTGAAGAGGTTTGAGATTCAGTCTTATATGGTAGACAAAGTTTATTTAGATTAAAAAAAGACTTTTTTTAACTCTTTACCCCAACCACCTGAAGCTACAGAGCTCAGACTGAGAGAAAAAAAATCAATTTAGTGTCAAATACCAAACATATTAGAACAAATTTCACTCAATTATAAATTAGGGGAAATTATTTTTGAAAGAGACAAAAAAATATATCAAGATTTGGAAACAAAAATAAATGACAAAAATTTAGCCAAGTAATTTTTTGGTCAGTTTTAAACATATTTTCAGATTTTTTATGAGAAAAATGCAGTGCAAACTCATCAACATTATTTGTGTCGTCTGTCGAAATGAGGAGCTAATATCAAAGACTGAAAATAAATCTGCACAAACAGGTAACTGATCCCATTGGAACCGGGCCCATTAGGGCCTGTGACCCGCAAGCTGCCCCAGAAGAACCTAAATAATAAAAACAGGAGCATTTCCTGGAACAAGCAGTCGGCAGATCTCACAGATCAACGGGAATTAAATTAGGGAAAAAGGATCAGTTCCAGATCCGAGCTGATCTGTTTCAACCAAAGCTACAAATGTGAACGAGAGAGTTTGGAACCGACCGGTTCTGACCCGATTTCTGCTGCTATCTGACGCGGATGCTAACAATCAGGCTTTATCTGAAGGGAGCGCACCGAGGTTTTAACATGACAAACGAAATAACAACTGAAATTGAGAAAAAGTTTCGTTAATGACAACTAACGGGGGAAAATTATAATATAGAAGTAACATCCTTTGTTTTTGTGTTTATGGATCAATTTATTTGCCTTTCAAGCCGATGTGACAGATTTATTTTTTCCTCACACCAACAGTTTATGTCGGCTGTCGGTACTTTACGGCACTCCATACGGCTAACGGCACCATTTATGCTAGTCCACAAAATGGCGGATCATCCTATTCAACAACAACTGAATATATTTTTTGAAAATGGTAACATTTGTCAAATATTCATTACAATTGTTGTACAAATAATCAAAATGCACAGAAAAATTAAAAGTATGAAAAGAGTAAAACTACTACTACTAATAAAAACAAAACAATATTAGTTAATAAAAACAAGCTAACAAACCTTTGTTCTTAGTTTTTGTTTGTCTAATTCGGCTGGTTTTGAACTGTAACTATTATAAATCTGGACCATGCTAATGCTAGCGTTAGCATGTGCTAACGTCTCACCGAGGGAGAGAGCTGTACTGCCGCTGCGCCTGGGCGAACGAGTCCCTCTCCTCCTGCCTCTGCCTCTGCATCTGGACCTCCACCGACACCGAGTGGCGGCCCGGCTGGCTGTACCCGCCCGGACCGTTGCTGCTGGCGTTGGACTGCAAAGGACAAAACCACATCTTATCATTTACCCAGAGCTGCAACACAGGCGGGCCACATGGATTAGTCTGCTATTAATGTGATAAAGACGAAGATAATGATTTGAAAATATCTATTTATTACTTAATTTTTAGGTAATTAATAGGTTTGTAGGGAAGTGACTGCATGTGCAGCACTCAGCCACAAACAGAAGAAACGTTTTCCTCAGGATGACACTAAAAAAATATAATTTATATAAATTAACTGCAAACATTGGCTTCATCTGATCAGATTTTAAAATTTACTGATATTTTATTGATACTCTGGTGGAACAAAAAGTGAATAAAATAGTAAAAATAACTTCATTTCCAATCATCAAGTAAAAAAAAAATCATTAATTGAAATTTACAACAATAAATCAAGTTTTTTTTCACAATAGTTGATAAATGATACAATAAATGTTTACCCGGAGGTGACAGTCTAACACATTTAAATAATTCTCGAACAATGTGTTAGAAGGGTTGAAAATTTAGTGGAAGGAAAAATTACTGTAATTTTATACTGGGATTTAGTGCGTAATACTGTACTGTACAAGGGAAAATTTGAATTTAAGTCCTTTTATTATTATTTATTTTAGAGAAACTGAATTAAGTTTTTATTTGCTTCAAGCCTGATTCATTGACATAATCATAAAATAAAAACTTAAACCATTTTACTAGGCCTGAACCTTCTGTGACACATATAGAGAATTACAAAGTCGGGGTTTTAATCACCTGGATTTGCAAGATTAAATAAATGAATTCACTTGTTAAAGAAAAATAAATCTAATACCATTTATAATTATATTCTAAGTTATTGCATAATTTTTTAAAAATCTATATTTATATGCATTGATAATTAACCCAGATCCTAGTTATTGTGTTTTACAATATATCATGTAGTTAAATAGTAATAATCTACCACTTTCTAACAATTTTTTGTATTCAAGAAACGTATTTCTAATAATTAACTAATAGGTGTTACAGATAATGAAAACATTACATTAAGAATTAGAATATTACATTAGACCAATAAAAGCTGCATTTTTAATACAGAAATGTATAAAAAATTAAAAGTTAGCTGCTTAAAGTCATTTTTTAATTAGAAATAAATCAAAATGCATATTCTAATTTATTAAATTAATTGATTTTTTAAAACTCTAAGGTGTTTAAATGTTTAAAAAAATATAAGTCCTTGATAATATTCCTTTGATAAGGTTCATATTTTCCCATAAGTTGAAGGAAAGTGACGTAATGTAGGGTAAAATGAGCCATGTTGGCTCGTACAGATGGCTGGAACACAATGACGCATTTTCAGGATTAATGGCTTTAGATGGAAAATGGGCGACCTTTCTGTTGACCTCTAATCCGGTCTGAGAATCCTCCGGCTGGAAGGTCGTCGGAGTGTGAAAATCCACGTGATTTCATAATGAAAAAGAACAGAACTCCACGGGATGGGATTAAACGCCGGACCTTTACACGTCTCTGAAACTCACCGGTCAGTCGGCGGGACTCGCCTCTCCTCGGGTCAAAGTGAAGGTGAGACACAGGCAGGCAGGTGAGATGAGAGGAAGAGGAGGGGAGGGGAGGAAGACCATGCTGCAGGCTCAGAGAAAGGTTGTGGTGATGACATGGATGTTAGTCGGGGTTAATGAAACAGACTCAACACTCTGACGGCCATTTTCTGGGGTTAAACACCCCGACATGAACGCCTCACAACGCAGATTTATGGATGTCTGGACACAAAAACCCCAGAGGCATTTTTACTTCATAATCTGTATGTTTGGGTTTTTTCTCTCTTTTTGCAGGTGTAGCAGCAGATTAACAGCCTGCTGTCTCGTCCCTTTCCTTCTTTCTTTACCATCTCTGCTACAGCTGAAATAAACCCAAAGCAATTTCTAGTAAACTTTTTCAGATTTGTGGTGAATCAGCGAAAGCTGTAACGCTCCACCCGTGAAGGTAAACATGTTGGGTTTCACCTTCAACCATTTTGACTGGCACTCTGCTCGACAAGACATGTAAAAACACAAATAAATAAAATATTTATTTAAATTGAAACCTCTTAAAAATATATAACTCCATATTATAATAGTTAAAACACCAAATAAACCTTAATATGCTTCAATACCCAGAATGGAAACCTCTGACAGCAAAAGCTAATATTTACAATTCTTTTAGAATCTTCTCAATCGATCGTCCAGCCAATCAGAACCAAGCAAAATTAATGCTGCTCCTCGATTGGCTGCTTTTCAAACAACAGCCAATAGAGTCTCAGCTAGCATTGTTGCTTCATATGTTAGCTTCCTAAGCTACATTTTATAAGCATTAATAATTCAGAAAGAATTTCATAAATTTGGAGACTTTAATGATAATTTAAACCGTTTGAGTCAAAATTACAACTTAAATTGTTAATATTTATGTACAGTTAAAGGCAGATATCATACACTGAAAAATAATTTTCCCTCATTATGTGAAGTTAAATCAGACCAAACTTAAACCAAAAGGTTTGACCCAAATTATTCCGTTTGGAAGACAAATCTATGTAAACTTTTAAATTTAAGGTAAAAAAAAAAGTTCTCAAAAAGTTTTGTTGGATTTAAAAAATAGAAATAAAATTGGTGACGACACAAAAACAAGATCTGGTCTGATTTAACTTCAGACGGTGAGAAAAAAAAAGTTTTTTCTATTGGATGTCAGTGGAAACCAAGAAATTATAATTTTATTTAATTTAAATAACAACTTATATTTATAATTTTTATTGTTTATACAATATTTACATTTAAATTAATTTATTTGTAGAACAATCTAGTTAAATAAAATAAAGTATTTTAATTTGTTATTCTTATGAAAACCTTTAAGCTGAAGCGAAACGCCTCCCTGGTTGAAGGTTCCCTCTTCACCCAAACATCGAGCAGCAACCCGAGCCGCTGTCGCAGCGCAGCTCCTCCGATGCTCATTAACATCCGGGTGCAGCGACCGCGCGCCGATTAGCTGCCACACAAAGCTGATATAATTACTTTTTATGGCCATGTGGCACTTTGGGAGCAGCGCAGACATCAGCTGGTGCAGAGGGCCATAAAACGATTACGAGCGCTAAAGAGACTCCACTTCATAACCGAACCTATGCGGGTCCAACGGCCTCGCTGACGGCACCGGAGGACCGTAAACGTCCCGTTTATGTTCCTGTGTCTGCAGGGGAAGAATGACAGTCTTCATATGGAGGACAGATTTCTTCTGGGGAGCTTTAAAACAGGACACTTTTGGAAATTGAAACGACTGATGGGCCAAAAAATTTATTAAACTGAAGCTACGAGAGAATTAGTTTGTCGTGATTTTTCTTTGTGTTTTAATTATTTTTTGTTTTATTATTTATTGAATCTATAAACAACAGAGTATTATTGAGACCATTGTAAAAGAGAAATAAAAAACTAAATCACAAGAATAAAAAGTTGTAAAATTACAAAAATAAAGTCAAAACATTTCAAGAATAAACTCTTACGAGAATAAAGTCAATGTTAACTTCATTATTTAGTCAATTTATTTATTAGAATTTATTTTACATTATTGTTTTTATATTTATTCATCTTTATTCCCATAATTTTATTATTTTTTTTCCAATTTTCTTATTCTGGTGCCAATAGATTTCAGGAAATCTGTAAATTATTAAAAATCTAAAACACAAAATTTACTTCACCAATTGTTTTCTACTTTGTTGGCCAAATTTGTCTTGCCTTCTTCTCAGGGGCCAAACAAAATAAGTTCAAGGGCCACAAAAGGCCCCCGCGCCTCACTTTGGACACCCCGGTTTTAATTGAACATTTCAGGAAACGTTTGCTCAGGATCAATAAAAGCTGTTAAATGTTACAGATGAAAATGTTTTCCTCCTCTAAACTCTCTGAGGTTTAATGGCTGCCATAAAGCGCACATCACTCATCTGTGATGGAATTAGACCACGTTACCCACAATCCTCTGCTGCTCACCCAAACAGACGAGGGACCCAGAGGAGGCGGCTAATTACAGTGGGCTTGTTCTGATATTGGACAATAAATCAGCGGACGGACGGACGGCTCTCAGAGGAGGTTGGATGGAGACAAATAACATTCTGGTTTTATGAGTGGAAAAAAGAAAATAAAAATTATATTAAAACTCTTATTTAATTTTTTTTAAAGGCATTTAATCTTTTTTCCATCCAATTTTGTCTCATTGAAGTCAAAATCAGAAAAAAGGCAAAAAAAAATCATTTATTTCCCTTTTATATATTTTCTATTTTTATATTTAACTGTCTAATCTTGGCTTGAAGAAGCCAAATGAGATGTTTATCTGTGATTTTCTTCTTCGTAACAAAAAAAAACTGAAAAAGATTTTACTTTTTTAATTGATTGAATTTAATTTTCTTTTTTTTTAAATTTGTTATATACTGGACAACTCAGAAAACAGGCAGATTTGCTTAAAAACCTTTTAAAATTATTTTATATTTTTTTTATTTTTATATTTATCTACATATTTGACAAACAGTATATCCACCTGTGGTTTTATGACAAAACTATTTTATTTTTTTTCAATGTATCTACATTTTTATGTATTCTTTTATATTTATTTGATTTTGTTGGAAGGAGCCAAATAACATGTACCTGATTTTTTAAAATGGAATTTAATTTGTATATTTTCAAATTAATTTATCTTTTATTATTTTTAATCAATATTTTTTTTTGGCACAAAAATCTGCTTTGTTTTTCTGGCCTGCAGTCGGAGCACTGCCTCCAAATCTTCAGATGTTTTCAACATTTGTATTTTAAACCTTTCAACAATTCAATTAAATGGTCACTGGAGGCGTCGGCAGGTGGAAGCTGAATTCAGTCGCAGGTCAGCGACTCCTCGGGGTTTGCAGCACATCCCTCACATGAAGCAACAAAAATGCAACCCCTGCACCTGGAGGTAATTGAATTTCAAAGACGCGTTCTGCCGTTTTCCATATGGCGCGCTAGCAGGACCGGAGCGCGGGTCCAACAACATGCAGTTATTATGGGCGACCCGGTTGAAGCAAAAAGGACAAGAAAAGAGCATTAGAGGGATACAGAGGCTGAGAAATCTGGTTTCCAGTTTTATTTTTGGATTATACAAGCTTTAATATTCACATATTTCATGTTTTATTGATGGTAAAAAAGTAAAATATTTAAGGTGCGCTTGTGGGAAAACTAATAATGAGTCTTCATGGGAAAATCCGCAGGACAACAATAGTGCAGGGAAGTGAGGTTTGAATTCTAGTTTTTAATTTAGAGCACGCTCTGTTGTTTCCGGACAAAAGCTCGGGTGACCTGTGGCCTCGTTTCCCACACAGTCCTGCGCTGGAATGCGTCCGCCGATCCCCGTAACACACAGCGGGGCTCTGGTTAACACTGCCAAAAAGCACCATAACACTAAGCAGCACCAGAGCAGAAAACAGCCCCAGTGCAATTCATCAGACGCTGAGGCGTCACATCACAACGTTTCCCCACTGCAAACGAGTCGCGCTGCAAAGTTACAGCAGGAATCCCACAATTCAAGGAGTTCATACACAAAATTATACAAATACACAAAACAAGATCCCCGGAGTGTTTTTATGTGACACAAAGTACAACACACCTTTTCGAGAGATTAGTGCCTCCCTTTTCACCCTGAACGTCTTTTAACCCGATTTTACAACAAAGAGGTGAAACTACAAACTGACTCATTTCAATGAGAAGCAACTAATGAGAGGAAAACAGCTGAGCAGCGACACGTTCACAGGTAACTCTGTAAAACCTACAGTGCCGAAACTTACAGGTTGTTTCTCTGACTTTACAGGTTTCATTTGAGGACAGGCTGTGTGGTGAGATGTGAGGTGATACTTTCTACAACTTACAAGTTGCTTTTCCAGGTAGTTTTTGGGTTCTGAGATTTTTATGAGGTTAATTTCAACCTGATACTTTATGGAAGTCAAACAGCTTTGGGGTACTATTAGGAACTTCCCAGTTACTTTCTTAAAACTTGAAGGTTCCCTTCAGACTCCAGGATTGGATTTTAGGTGATTTGATTTCCAGGACTTACAGAGACTACGCTACCAATAGGAAGTTGGTATTTTACAGAGTACTTTCTAGAACTTTCAGGTTATTTTCCCAATAAGAAACTTACTACTTTTCTGTACTTTACTGCTTTATTAGGTGACGTGCAACCAGATTCTTTCTGAAACTTTAAAGCTAATATTTAGGCAACTACTAGGAACTCGTAGCTTAATTTATTAAAACTTGCAGGCTACCTTTAAAGCAGCTGAATTTATTGAGAGGTAGCTTATAAAATCAATTCCTAGGACTAATGAGGTGCTTTCTACAACTTATTTTACTGAAACCATCTGGCTGTTTTTGGGTTTCAGGCTTTTTCTGAGGGGATTCATGAGTTCTTAAAGGAAATTAGCTACTTTCGATAAAATCAACAAACTACTTTTGGGTGACTAATGAAATTGGTTCATATTTTCCAGGAATTGCAAGATATTTTCTAGAACTTTCTACAGCTGTATTATGTGGAAACATGTAACCTTAGACTTTCTGGAAGTTTAATCAATAATTTATAGAACTTATTTACTTCCAATAGTTTCAACTTTATTTACCTTTAAATAAGTTACTTTCCTGAACTTTACAGGAGACTTGAAGCTCATGGCCACTATGTTAGAAGTAACTTCATATCTTCTAAAACTTACCGGCTCCCTTTTCAGAACAATCCAGGAGACACTGTGTGGTAATCCGTACTGCAATCAAAGTATTAAAATCTAATCTTCAGCTGGGTGTTCTGATTGGCTGCTGAAAATAATCTGAAACCAACAAAGACACAAAACCTTGACATGAAATTTTCATCTGATTTCTAGTGCAAATATATTAGAGCACTGGAAATGAGTGATTAAAAAAGTGCTAGTTCCTTTGGCACATTTTCTTCTAAGTGAAATAAATGAAACTGTGTCAACGAGTCTAGTACTTTTTGCATCTGCATTGAAGAATTATTCATTTAAATCAGGTTGATATAACTTGCTAAAAGCTACCAAGATATTTGCCCTAGAAATACTTGGTTGTGTGTTTTTGCAGCGTGTTCTCCGGTCGCAATGTGAGGAAGCAGAGAGATCTGAAATAAATAGGTAAAAATATGACAAGTCATTTCATCACCTTAAAAAAACAAAAGAAGAGGCGCCGCGATTTGTTCGCTTCAGGATTTCCCTTTGTTGCTTTACACAAACTAATCGTCTCTTCTCGGCCAATGAGGCGCCGACTTAAACACGTCTGTTAAAAATCACAGGTTCCTGTTTGAGGTGTGAAAAAGGCACAGATGAAAGTTTAAAAACAGTCTGTGATGTTGTGGGCGAGGTCTGTGCGGATGACTGACGGACACAAAACATGGACGACGGATGAGCGGAGCGGGTCGGGGCAGGCGGGTCGGGGTTAGTGATGGACTCCAGCATGCAGTCGGTTAATGAATTAGCTCCGTGGAGGTTAGCGCCGCTCCTGGAGTCTCGTTGTCTGCTGGTGGTAGTGGGGTTAGTGATGCGGGATCACCACCGGCACGGCTCAGTTTCCGTCCCTTTCTCTCCTGACGTCGATCGGTTCAGACACTCACCCAGGACTGCTCGAAGCTGTAGGTCCTCCTGCGGTCGTCCGGGTCGTCGGGAATGTTCTGGGCCTGCTGGAACTCCTGCCGCAGCCTCTGTATCCGGTCATGATTGCTAGGAGTTAGCCGGTTGCTAACAGGAGAAGAAGAAGAGAGAGATGAATGAGCGTGAGAGAGGCCATTGTGAGTGAGTGACCTGGTTCTATCAGCGCTGCAGGATGGAGTTGTTTAAAGTCCGGCGCGCTTTGTCCGCCGATTGATCAAACGCGCTGTTGACATTGGCGAGGCGGCGGCAGACTCAACCCAGAGAGGATATGATAAGTGAGGGCAGAGCTGAGAGCCAACAGCAGTATGAATCAAACTAATGCGCCTCTGATGTATTATTCAGAACAATGAACAAAGCCTGGTGGTGAACACCGAACAGGCCCGCGGTGCCCACATCAAACACGCTGCCATCAGGGCAGCTTCCCCCTGGTACCAACAACAAACACAAGTTTGGACCAAAAGAGACTCTTTGCGCACTAAAACGCAGACAAACAGCAGAAAATCCACTTTGACCAATAAATATACAAACAAATTTCCTTCTCTTTTTAAATTTATTCTAGTAAAATAAAGCAAACAGTTTCCTGAGCCTTTCGGGACACATAAAGACGGTTACAAAGTCAGCCTTTTATCACCTGATACACATTTCAATTATTAAAGGACTAAAGTCCCTGCAAGAGAAACTTATTCATGTTTCATCTTTCAGGACAATCCAGGACTGATTACTAATAATGGCGTAATTATTACAAATAAATTCAACTTGATCTGAGAGTAATAGTAAAGTCAGCTGCATGTGAAATAAAAAATGAATCAGATTTTTAACCAAAATATTAAATAAATAAAACGAAACATATTTTTCTTAATTTAGTCAATAAATTACAAGAGTGGTAAGGCCAGGCGAAGGCATCTTTTTTAATTCCATAATAAATTAATAATATTAACATAATAGAGGTAAGTGTAATAATGTGAAAAACAAAGTCATAAAAATTCAAGAATAAAGTAATAACATAAGAATAAAGGTGTAATAATGTGAGAATTAAAAGTCCTAATAAGACAAGAACATAAATCCTAATTCCAGAATAAACTAGTGATGAGAATAATGTATTAATACGAGAACAAGCTGTAATATTCAGAGAATAAATTTGTAATTTTATGATAAATTCCAACACTAGAAGAAATCGTACCACTGCAATAAAATGAGTTATGTTTTTCAGTATTTACAAGTTAATTTAATCAAATTTTAAATAGGTGTCCTTTTGATTTAACTGCTAAATTAAGAGTGTTATACTTTTTATTCTGCTCTTTATCAACATTTCAAAGTTATTTTAATGTTTTCTGTACTAAACTATGCATCTTCCGTGTTTATTTTATCATCATATTTCAGCTCACACCTCATTGTTTTGAGTAAATGACCCAGTTTTCCTGTTTCTCTCTTGGAGTGAAGCGAAGCGTCAGGATGTGTGAATAAAAACAGCATCGCGGAGTCACAGTTTGACTTTTTAAACTTCGTAACCCTGCCAGGAAATTTCTGGGAAACGTCTCCGAAACTCTTAAGGTCAAGCCTGTATCTCTTTCCCTGGGATTCGTCTTGAAGGGGAAACTTAACAGGTCAAAGGTCAAGTAAGGGGACGTTTCCGAGGATGAAAAAAACTCAAGAGACTGAATGAATTCAGGATGCAACATCACTTCCTCCTTCTGATTCAACTTCCTGTTTAGTAGCTCGTAATTTACGTTCTTTGCCAGAAATATTTACATTTACTTACAGAAGTTGTGATCATTATTGACTGATCAAATTATCAATCATTTAATATTTAGAAATTAGGTCATCAGATGGAGCAAACTAGAAGATCAAATGGAAACTTTGTTGTTTTAAGAATGAAAATGACAATAATTCATACAAGTAACAAAAAATATAAAATCAGGCAAAAGAAAATGTTTCCAAATTAGTTTATTTTAATTAAAAAGTTATGAAACTCCAACAGAAACTGCAGGCGTGTGTCTGAGTCTGGTGAGTTTCTGGTTAAAACATGTTTGTTTTTTGTTTAGAGGGTAGAAAGTCCAGAAGTTTTACGCAAGTAAAAACAGAAATACTTCAATTTCTCAAGTAAATTTCAAAGAAATTCAAAGTAAAAAGTACAGCATAGTAAAAACACTCCTGATAGTATTTTCAAAAAAAGTTACTCAAGTAAATATAATTGTGTAAATGTAACTAGTAACTATCGCAGGTAATGTCATGGATCATAGATGAATAAAGGCAACAGACAGAAACCACTCAGGTCCAATCCTGGTGATCTCAGGCTGCCGACAAAACGGGCCGAACCAGACGGGTCAGAGAGCGGGACGTGCAACCAGACGGGTCAGAGAGCGGGACGTGCAAACAGACGTCTGAACGGCGACCGTCTGAGACCATCAGAGACAGAAAAGCTGCAGCAATTTGTCAGGATGTAAGTGTGACGTGTGTTGGATGAAAGATGGCCGCCTCTCAGCCCGTAATCATCATTAGGACGACCTCCCGACCCCAGGCGTACGGCGAATCCAGACGGATCAAACTTTTTCCGTCCTGACAAAGTGCTGCGGATCAAACAGAAGGAGAGCAGCAGCGACCGAAAACCCCAGAGAGCAGGAAGCTCAGCGCTGTCCTGCGAAACGACTCACTCCATATCTGCTATGGTGCAGGGGTGAAAGGTCACACGGCGAGGCCTGAGCCGCGGTCGGCTGTGTCCGGAGGAGGAAGGAAGAGCTTTGAGGAGATAAAATGCTGCTGACCGCGAACCGACTCTCGGCTTCAGAGCGGAGATCAATGCAGCGTGAAGCAGCAGCAGCAGCGCCGGGATTTAAAGATAAAAGCTCTACAGCGAAAATAAAATGATTTTTCATTCCTCAAAACTGAAAAGGTTTTTGGGTTATTTCTATAAAACAGAAAAAAAAGACTGCAAAAAAAAATTATAGAACAAAAATTCTGCCTTCAATGGTCAGAGATCAAAAGTTTGAATTCTGAGATTAAACTCAAAATTCTGAGATTGAAATAAAAATTGGGAAAAATGAAAGTCAGAATTCTGATAGCAGTAAAAATTCAGAGACAAAAGTTGAAATTCTGACATTAAAGTCAGGATTCCTTAAGTTTTTTAGTGGCCCTAATCCGCTCCTGTAAAATGCAGAATAATTCGTTAATTTACTGATCATTAAAAGCAAACGAAGCCGCTCTAATGAACTTTTCTACAACCTGAACACGAGGCAGGCAGCAGATCTTAACGCCATTAATTATTTTGACGTAGTGAAACGTTGTTTAGATCTAATAACGAGTTTCAAGCAGAGACTGGGAGGAACAACTGCATTATCCCAAACGCTGTTGAGTTTATTGTGCCATTCAGCTCATAATTTCTCCCTCTGCTGAACTAGAAATAAAAAAGGATAAAGTTTTCTGGCAGAGAGAAGAAGCGTTTTCATGCTCCGACTCTGGACTCATTAACCAACAGGACGTAATATTTACAGAGGTTTAAAGCTGCAGCGTCTAATTTTTATCACAAAACTAACACGTTATTATGAAGACTTACTTGTTGCTGCAGAGAGATGGATGAATCAGCTTTTTCTGTTTTGATTTTGTTTGAAAATCTGAAACATTTAACTGACAAAAAAAAAACACAAAAATAGGAGAAATCTGTAAGAGTTTAGCAGCTAAGTTTTGGTCAACTTTAAGGTAAAGATAAAAATTTCTTGTATAAGTAAAAGTTGCTTGTTCTGTAAATCTGTCCTACTTTGATCTCAGATCAATAAAACCTCCAAGTTTAATAAAAAGTTCAAATCAGACACGTTTCAGTGGAAAACATACTTTAGTAAGAAAGATCCGACACTAATAGCAGCTTTGCGGAGTTTTGTTGGTCATAGACGAGGAAGCAATCTAACAGGATTAATCGGATCTGTGTCGTCGCCTTAAAACCCCCTGACACAGATACCAATCAAATCCGGCCAGTTGGAAACGAAAGGCGTCCGCGGTTCGCCGTGCGCTAAATCGCAGAGCCGGCCTGACCCTGCAGATTAAACCCAACGCTCCCACTCCAAGACGACTCTGGTGGATCTCCGGAGGGTTGGACTCCGACTGCCCAGCAGCTTCAAACTCACTCTAAACTCATTTTTTCCCTCCTCTGCATGAACAAACAAAATAAAATCCCATCTCAATCATAACAATGCATGGATTGTATTCAGCGATAGCCCAAACTAATTCATTCGTCAATAATCCCCACTTCAAAATAATAAACTTTTTAATTAAAAACTCCCATCTTAATTAAAGATTTAATTAGCCGTGGGTAGTCATGGGACTCCGTGACTGTTGTACCGACTAGCTCTGTTAAATAAACATTCCCTGATGCAGAGATAGGGGCGGGAGGGAGCCGGACCGGGTTGTGAATGTGCGTCCAGCTGCGGCGTTTGGTTCAGTAAATCTTATCAGATGGGTGAACATCCTCTGAGAAAGAGCGAGCCGCCGGTGGAGCCTTCAGCTGCAGTGAAAAATGAGCCGAGATGCTGAAGATGATAATCTGGGTCTATTGATTGGAGGCTCCCAGACAGCCAGGAGGGAGACTGATGCCCTCGCTAACTGATGCTAGCAGCTAGCGCTTCATATTCGAGCTGTTGGGAGTTTTCTTCACGAACCTGGATGCTATTGGTTCACATAGGTGTGTTTTCCTTTCATTTAAAGCTGCACTAACTTTTATTTAAAAAAAAAAAAATTTTTGTTAAATATTTGTCAGACTGTAGCTAAGGCTAGTTAGCATGTCCACAGATAAACAGTTTTCCTGTGATACCAATATTTCTAAAGAACCTCAGTCCAGTTGTTTTTACAGACAGCTACGATTTACAGCTGCAGTATGTAACTGTTGTAAAATATTTTTATTAAACCATTACATCGTGGATAATTCGCAAGAGTTTTTCTTTGGCACTGTTGGCTCCTTTTGGTCCGGTCCATTTAAACTGGTCCATTTATCTGACCAGTATAATTCAGTATAAATTAGACAACTAGACAAGCGGGTTTAGTCAAGTCTTCAGTCCATCAGCGACCCGATGAGGTGCAGGTCTATTTTCATTTGCACAGCA